GAACTATAAGAGAAAAGTTATACTAAAAGCAAAATTAGAGAAAAAAATATTTTTAATGAGAAATGATTAAAAACACAAGATTTGTATATTAAAAAAAATTAAAAACAATCAAGAAAAGTGGAGTAGAAAAACTCATACTCCTAGTTATGCCTTGTTAAAAAACTAGAAAAGAAAAAAAAACTTTGGGCAGTTTTCAGGAAAATTAGTTTAGTTGGATAATTAATTAAAAAATTATTTTAGGGTCGTATTGTGACAACAATATAGCAAGCACGCAAGTGAAATACACAATCTCAAACCCCTCACTCCTCTGTGTGTGTGTGTGTGTGTGTGTTATAGAGTTGAGAATGATTATTTTAAAGGGCGTTTTAGACAAAATAAAGAGAAAAATATAAATGTACAAGATATTTTTTTTTGGTTTTATAAAATAGAGCAAAAAAAATAAAAATAAAAAGTAAGCACACAAGCATGTTGAAGTACAAAAGTTTTGAAAAGCTCATTATCTCTTCTATATAATCTTTAGATGTAGATATGAAAAAGAGCAAAAACACGCAAACATGCTGAAGTACAAAAGTTTTAAAAAGTTCATTCTCTCTTCTATATAATCCACATATAATTAAGTTTTTCTTTTAATCATTCAATAATAAAAAAAAATAATACAAAAATGAAAATGTTTAGTTAAAATTATGTTTTTTTTTTGTATAAAAAAATTATGATTTTTATATTTTTGCGGAAGCCTTTTCACGAGAAGCCATTTAGAAATTGGCTCCTTCTGGAAGAGCTTCTTTAAGTAATAAAAGATTTATGTGGTATGTATGTGTTTAGATAAAGTTCATTTGGTGTAATCCAAAATACTTGTGACAATTTGAAAAATAATTTTACGTTCAATTTTTTTAATGGAATTTATATTCAAAATTAATACTTAAGAGAACTTCAAAACCGATCTTAAACTTGCGATTCAAAATTATAGTAAGCATGATGATTGAAATTCATCTATAAAGAAGGGAAGTTACTCTATATATGGTAAGGCAAAAATCTTGGACGTGCCTAAAGTCTTGTGCTTAATAAATCTTATGTAAGAGTAGGTGAACCAATTATGGGATTCATCTAAGCTTAGCTTTTTAAGTCATTTGCATTAAAAGCCTTCTCTAAAAGGATGTACACCAACCAATGAGACATAGAAAAGAAGCATTTAGTTCCCTTATGAAAAATGACAATGACAATTCCTAAAGAATTTAATGTCTTTTTACTACACTATAACGATGCGATGCGTTTGGTTTGATGCAATGACAATTCCTAAAATCCGGTCATTTCGATGTTTGGTTGAACAAAAAGACTTACGAATCACTCTTCTCATAGAATTTTTATTCTATCAAATAGTTGAATAATAATTTCTAAAGTTAACCAGTAGAATAATCATTCCATACCAAAATTATATCTCTCCCAATGATCTAAAATTTACTCTAAATACCTTTTTACCATCCAAAATTTTAAATATTATTAATAATTAAATGAGAACATATATTATTCCATTCTATTTTAATGACTAACCAAACATAATAATTGTGACTCCAATATTAATTTCAATGCCCAACCAAACAATACAATTTGAACAAATCATTAATAATGTATTTACTCATAAAATCAATAATGATAATTTTGCAGGCCCCACAAAAATATAGAAAATGGAGAAATGAATATCCATCATTGCACTTCCCTTGGTATTAATTCCATTTCAAAGGGAATTAATGCTAAATTTACTTAAATGTCCAAATTCAATTGTTATAATTCAATGGTTACTTAATTATATAAAAGGCTATATTAGTATTGACAAGATTATCATTCCTAAGTTGAGTGAACACTAAAAAGAGAATGTGATCTTTTACTCATTACACTATCAAATAGATAAGTTAGCACTAAATAGTTTAAGGATTGAGTGTCCAAATTCTTAAAATGGGGACTAACGGTACTAATAGATTAAAAGTTTGGGAACCGGCAGTGTCAATGAATTAAGAGTTTAGTGACCAGAGTGTCCAAGTTTTTAAAATGGGGACCTAAATGTCAAAAGTTAAAAAAGTTTGGAGACCTATAGTGTAAATATCCCATATATATGTAATATATCTATATACGAACAAATTCTAAGAAAATATCACACAAAACTAAGATGGAACCTTCTCTGGTACGCCAACATACCGGTACGTCAGGTTCTATATCTGTCGGATCTGCATAAAATTACGTAAAAGTTAAAAAATATGCAAATCTAACGGTTAAAAAACCCTGACGTATCAAAGAATCTCCCCACTAAGAATATAGTAAAAGATTGACAGATTCCTCAATTTGCTAATTCTTCTTTTCTTCCATTTATGAGAAATCCAAAATTCTCTCCAAGACTATACGAAGACATTAGTGTTAATTTTCCAGGAACATTGGGCGGCCTCTTAATTCACGAAAGCTAATGCACGCCCCTAATAAAAATTGGGCTTTATCCCATTGACTTCCAGGTATGTCCAGAAGCCCAATTTAGGATCGTAGGCCTATCCTTACTCTAAAGGCCCAACACTTGGCAGGTGACATTTTGATATCCCGCATTCGTGTACTCTTCCCACAAAAGCCCGGGTCCCACAAGACAGCGTATGGGTGTGAGCTGTCCCCCTTTACTTTCCCAAAGCTTCTACACACGTCCACGTGTGAGAATCCCAGTGGCTTCCACGGCGGCTGCGTAGCTTTTTCCTCCTGTTTGTCAAGCTACACGTGGGTTTCAAGATTTGACGGTCGCCGTCAATGGATCCGTCCCTGTCGTCTTCGAGCCGGGCGCTGCTACCTAACGCCACGACAGGCTTTTAACGGCGTAAAGAAATGGGGAAAAGGGTAGTGGCTGCCGTTAAACCTGGACTGGCCAATTGTTTGGGCGTGGACTTACCAACACGTGGTGAGATCGTGGTTTGTGGGCCCTACTTTTGGGGTCATTTGTCGTTTTGTGTTGGTTTCTGTGCTGTGTTTGTGGACACGTTGGTGGCGTCAAATCGGGGATGTCAGCACATGGAATTGATTAAAGAAATTTATTTATTAATTTATTTATGAGTGAAGATGATTTTGGTAACAAACTCCTTTTTAGTCGTTGGCTAGACTTTTGGCTTGACGATTTTGCCCCTATAAATATAGGTTCAGTTTATTTTGTCAATTCGAGTTTTGTTACAGTAAAAAGCTATTAAAAATTGTCACATCTAACTTTTTTACTATAGTAAAAAGCTCTTACATAACGTCACATCTCAACTCAAATTAAAAATTCGAATCGACAAAATGAACGGAGCTATAGAAGTAGTACATCGTCTATCATAAATTTGCAAATGACTGAAGTTAAACTCACGACAACAAATCATCACCTTTTGTGATTGCAGATTTGGTTTAAGCGGTTCAAAGCCAATTTAAGTGCCAAGATCTTGAATTCAAATCCCCTTTTAGACTCATCTATAAAATTGCAATTGTAATGTAAGTTATACGTATATGTATCATTATTTAGGTCAGATTTCGTATTTTATCTCTCATCATACATGTGACAACTTAAACTACGGTCGGTTGCTAAACGAGTCACTTCGACTCTTCAGATAGATCAGTACGAATTATAGATTAGTCAACTTCACTGGTCAATCATATGAGTCGATACTCACCTCTAGTACCAAGCAACATGAGAATGTCCTCAATATATTCTTAAAACATGAATTGACAACCGAATCAGCTTAAAAATGAAGGGACGTGTTTTATTTATTTCCACATAAAGAAGCTAAGTCCTCAACAACGACTCAATAAAAAGGTAGAATTAACTTGTAATAGGCAACAAACCACATTTGATCGATCAACGAGAAGATGAATTTGCAAAAGAAGATCAAAGATTGCTTAAAGAGGAAACCAAGATCATGCATTGAAGGCCAAATCGGCCAAGGAAATGGGAAACAATTGTGGAGCCTCATTAATTATAAATACAAGGCACTCAGACATTCTGAGACATGGTCATCAACACACTTAAGCACTCACGCTCACTTTCAACATATTTTCCCAGTATTTCCTATATTTTTCAGCATTCTCCCTTTATCTCTCACCCATTTTTTCTCTCATTGACTTTCAACTATTGGCCCTTGATTTTATTAATTGTAGAGTTCACTCTCTACAGTCAAGCTGTAACAATGTACAAGCAGCCAAGTTGTTGATGCCACTTTTTTTCTTTTCCTTTTTTTTTTTTTTTTTTTTTTTTTTTTTTTTTTTAGTTGGGAGAACACGTTAACGTTGTTGCTGAGGCACCGACTAGAACGAATGGATCAAAACAATGTAGGGGAATAGTGAGTTTTCTACGTAACCCTATTAGGATGATCATAGTGAAGGTGAAATCCATTATTGCGTACTTGTAAGTAGTTCCACACATTTCTTTTCAAGCAAAAAAAAAAAAAAAGAAAGTACTTCTACACATATTCTAATGCCATTTAAAGCATTTCACCCCTCATAAAGTATTTTTAAAGAATATAGGCGTGTTTATTTTATTAATTTAAATTTTTATTTTTAATTTTATTACAGTTAAAATTTTTTATAAAATGTTATATTTAATTTTTTTATATAAAATTATATTTTAATTTAAATTAAAAATTTAAATTAATTAACTAAACGAAGTAAAGAAAGGATATATAATTGCTTTGCTTTAAGTTTTGCAAGATGTTTAGTTTATATAGATCATGCATGACAAGGATGAATTTGTCATTTTTTGCCGAATAAAGACATTGACGTCAGACGAAAGTCCTCTCAAACGTGAATCATCCGACTATCCGTCAACTCACAGAATTATCTCTTTGCTCCAAATATAAGAAAAAACCAAGAAAAAGAAAAAAGAAAAAGAAAAAGAAAAAGCGAGAGTAGGAAAACGACGTCTCCGCTACCATCAATTTTATTTTATTTTTTAAATTTTTTTTCCATCTTCTTTGAAGCTCAAAAACAATCATATATAATCTGAAAGAAAAAAAATATAATATTATATATTTCTAAATTTCGTCATTGTTTAAAGTGACAAATCTGATTTGCGGTGGCTGCTAATGCACTTGTTCTTAGCTTTTTCTCTTTTCTCTCCCTTTTCACACTTCAACAAAATCCACTTCCAAGTTCCAAAGCTGCCTCTTGTTTCACTACTTCTACACCAGTAAGTACTTGGTTCTAGTTTTAAGTACCGTTTTTCTTTATCTTTTCCTTTATCGGCTCTTGAATATAATTATATGAACATGCATGCATGTATGTATGTATGTATATATTTTGTGATTTAGTTGTTGGTCTAAATATTTTCCCAGCAATTCATGATCCTTTTTCTCTATTGGGTTTGTTTCTTATGATCTAAATTCAACTACATACATGCATGCATGTATATATGCATATACCATATATGTTTATATCATATGATGGTATTATCTATGTGCTTATTTGAATTTTATTTTATTTCTAATATATATATATATATATATGTATATATACATATGTTTTTTTTTTTTTTTTTCCTTTTTCAGTTGGGTTAATTGGGTTTGGAGAAGGGAAGGTTTTGAAGCATGCACCAGAAATCAAACGGCACAAATCACTCGGAATTCTCTGATCCCAATACTAACACTAGAACTGATAATAACCCAGTACAGAGTACAGTAAATTCTCAACCTTGGTGGGGTATATCCCACCATGGAATCTCTAAAGATCATGTTTTTGGTGGAACAACTATGAGTTTGTCTCAACCAAATAATCTAAATGGTGATTTTGGAACCCAAAATAGCAATTCTCTTTCACAAGAAAGGCAGAGTACTGGCCATGATGACGGAAGTGATCTTGGTCTTACTAGTAAAGAAATCATACAATCAGGTAATTTATTTGATTACTCTTTGCGTTATTTTATTAAGATGTAATTTCATTATGGGACCCATAGCTTCCTTTTTAACTTGAATTCTTGAGTTGTTTATTTTCTTAGATAATATCAAATGGGTAAAATTGAAGTGAATTTTGCTTCATTTATACAACCCTTTACTAGAAATTTGTTGTTTCCTCATAGATCTTATTGAAGTTATTTACTTAATTTGCTTTAGACATATAAAATAGGGGGCAGTCAATTTATATCTGATTTGCTTGAATTATATATGATATTTGTGCACATTTTGTTGTCTTAATTAGACTTCAGTTTATGAAAACACCTTTCTTTAGTCGTGTTAATCTTTTCTTTTTGTTAGTCTTTTCTTTAGTGGTCTCAATTTCTTGTTCTATGAGAATAAGAAAGAAATATACACTATCCTGTTTTGTTATCTGGTCTTAGTTATATGTGTGTTATAAAATAACGAGAATAGGCAATAGAAAACATAACAAGAATACACATATTTACGTGGAAAACCCTAGACGGGAAAAACCACGAGTAGAGAAGAATGAAAAATCCACTATATCAAAGATGGGTGCAGAAGGAGAATATTTTAGAGCAAAAGCACACATAACCATCATGAAAACCGTAAAAATAAATCATATATATGTGTGTGCGCGAGCATAATTAACAAAATAGGTCCATATGAACAAACGGCACAAATCACTCCGCTACCACCACATATCCCCAAAAAATCTCATAATTACAGTATCACTACATTTGTCACACTGCGAGCTTTTTAGGTTGGGCCAAACAGAATTCGGGTCACTGTACTCTAACAATGGGCGGCCAATTTTTGTATTGGTGAATGTAATGTACTTATTTGATAGTTTTGAATTCGGTGTTAATAACTTCAGCAGTAGACTAAGGGCTCGTTTACTTCGCGGATTCGAGTTTTCAATTCGAGCTGAGATGTGACATTTTCTAAGAGCTTCTCACTGTAGCAGAAAAAGTTAGATGTGACATTTTCTGAGAACTTTTTATTGTAAAAATCTAAAACTGAAAATTTAAGTCGGTAAAATGAATGAGACCTAAAACTGCACGATGAATTATGTGTTGTAATTGACTGAGTACTCATTTTCCTTTTTTTTTATTGTAAAAATTTAAAACTGAAAATTTGAATCGGTAAAATGAACGAGACCTAAGACTGCACGATGAATTATGTGTTGTAATTGACTGAGTACTCATTTTCCTTTCTTGGTTTTTCCCTTTGGGTTTTCCTTGAAAGGTTTTAACTAGGCTTAGTCCGTAGGGTTCGTGCATAGAGATAGTGTAGGTTTGACCTACTTGTAGGACCTTTTGGATTTACAAATCTATGTCTTATTTTAGCTTAGGTCTCTGCCTTGCAAGTTTCTGTTTTTGGGTTATTTTGATTGTTTCAGACTTTTTGGTTGTATTTTTTATCTTTATTTTAATAAAGTTTGAGTTGGGCATTTGGTAGAGGAGAGTTGTTCTAAAGGTGTCAACCTAGTCGGGATGTTTTGATCAACACTTATATCATCAGTTACCGTCTCTCACCATTTATTTAAAAAAAAATTATGTCTTGTAATTAATACTAATTAAGAATTTCTGACATTGGCAGATAGAAAATGTGGAGAAGACCAGCATATGCAGAGGGTTTCACCGGTTACGCCTCCAACAATGACGGAATATCTTGCACCGCCTCCCCAGCTAGAATTTGTCAGCCACTCAATTGTAGCTCTTTCTTCCCTATTGTTTAAATGCAAAACATTTGATTCTGTAATATGCAGCTTAACTAGTTGGTAAATTACATGTGAAATATATGATAGAATTCATCCCTGTGGAAAAAGGATATTTTTTAACGAGCTTATTTTAATTAGAACCGTACATTTCGTTTTGGCTATTATTTCTTTCCTCATATTTAGAGGGGGCGATGACGGAATGTAAATGAAAATATTTTGCAGGCATGTTCATCATATCCGTATTCTGATCCGTATTATGGAGTGATGCCTGCTTATGGGCCTCATGCTTTGGTATGCAATTAATATCTTTTCATCATTTAATTGATACAAGCAGTGTTCGATAAAGATGTTAACTTTGCTTCATATGGCTTAATGAAGAATCCAGTTGTGCTAAAAAGTGAAATACAAGTTTTTGAATTTCATTTATTCTTCTCGGGATTTATAGTGTTTGATTAATACTTTCTAGAAACAGAGGCTTCTTAAACTGATGAGGTAAGAAGATCATATGGGTAAATGTGGAACTTTTCATCAAAACGAAATTCACATAATATTAAACAACACGATGAGTTTTAATGCTCCACTTGAATAGTTAAAACTTGAAAGCAAAGGTTGGTTTTAACAGTTCAATTGTGCATTTTCTTGGTAAAAGTTCAGGCTACATTTTTGTGGGATTAAGATACGGATATGTGGTAAAAAGAAAGTGGCATAAATATCTTCTCGTCGTTCTCGACCTGAAATTAATTACTCATAGTTGTTTCAGGTACAGCCTCATTGTCTTGGATTGTCCTCGGCTAGAATGGCCTTACCCCTTGACATGGCAGAGGAGCCTGTCTATGTCAATGCCAAGCAGTACCATGGAATTCTAAGACGCAGGCAGTCCCGTGCCAAGGCTGAGCTAGAAAAGAAGCTAATAAAAGTTCGTAAGGTAATTTTCCTGTTTATATTCAAATCCCCGTCTTGGCTATTTGCTCAAATATTAGTTGTCATTTAATAGTATCTATTGACTGCGATAGAGTTCAGCAGGGACATGCAACTAAAAATAAGATATTTCTGTTATGATCGGAGGTAACAGGTTCTCTAGGGAAGCATATATCTGTGTCACTGATTATTAGGACCAGAGAAATCTTTGTTATTGTAAGATATCATTCAGAAATTACTAGTGAACTATTTTTATTAATGGCTGAAATACTTGATATTGACCATTAAGAGGGCCTGATTCACGTGTAATATGATATCTAAATAGGCTTGGTAGTTAACCACGTTTTGTAATCGATTTAGACCTAAATTCGGAGATTTCTATTCAATTAGACAGCTAATAGGCAATGGCTATAATTAGTGAGGTAATGGTTTTTTTTCAAATCAAGTGGTAGATATAGTGACAATGAGAATTTCAGGGACCATGTGTAACAAGATATGAATGTTTTTCTAGTTACAACTCTTCTTTGTTTACAATAAACACTGATTAAAGTTATAGCAGCTTTTAGTTAGGTAAATTGTATTTGTACTTAAAACTAATGTTTTGGAGTATATTGGAGCTCATTTATAAGAGTTAACTAGTCACATTTCACAGCCTTATCTCCACGAGTCCCGTCATTTGCATGCCATGAGGAGGGCAAGAGGAAGCGGAGGCCGTTTTCTGAACACAAAGAATAATGATGGTACAGCCGCTAACCCCACAGCCAACAACAACACAACCAGTTCTGGTGCAACTACTAAAGCGGATCAAATCAACTCGTCGAGCACCAAGCCCGTCTGGTCTGATTCCTACACTGATCTTCGTGAACCAACTGACCGCCACATGCAGGGAATCCACCAAAACAAGACATACTCCAACGTCAATAGTGGCAACAGCTGCTACCTAAACAATCAGGGATTTCAGTTATCCGCATACCATTCGCTCTTGGGTGATCGTAGGGCGGAGGAAGGAGAACTCTCAGGGAACCACCGTGACCGAATTATCACTAACGGGACTCACAGGGCCCTTACCATCAAATAGGTATCCTAAGGGATGAAGGGTTTGCTCCAGAAATGCCAATGGTACATGAATAGGCTTATGAGGGTACTGTCAAGGAAGTAAAGCTGTTCGAATTTCTCACCAATAAGATTATAAAATTATGGCAATAATACCCTTGAGATCACTTTGTCTAGAGGCAAATATGGAGACATTTCTAATCAACTTGAGGAGGAGATAAGTATAATGGCTGCAGTAGGTTTTCAAGTTGGAGAGTTCTGGCTGTACAAAAGGGTAATGTTTCTTTTCAGGCAAATCATTCTTGGCTTTGGCTTTGTTGCTTGATGAAGGGAGGGAAAGGAATGTAAAGAAACTAGATCTTTGTTTGTTGTTGTCTTCTATCATATGCATGATTTGTTGTTGATTCCCTTCCTTCCAAACTACAAAGATTTTACATGGTTTAGCACAAGAGAGCGATTTCACATGTAAGGAAAACTATGGAATGTGCTCTATATAAATAAAAGTTACAATTACAGAATTGGGTAAGTTACTTAAATTTGATAATTTAGAGATTTTTTAATATAAGGATAAATATAAATGAAGTCAAAATGCTAATAAAGGAAGCCAAACCATATATAAATATTCTTTTCCTAATATGCTCATGCAAGAGGGAATTTTGATAGAAGATTTCAATTTTGAAAGGATTTTTTTTCGTTTTTATTTATTTTTTATTATTTGAGAAAACAAATACATCGAGCTGACTTGCATAGGGATGGCAAAGATTTAACGGTGCAGGGGCGCATATAAAGGATGACAATCGTGAAGGGTGGTGCATATGCTTAAGGAAGAGAATACAATTGTCAAGGCTGCATGGTGTTGTAGAGAACAAAATGCAAAAGCACAGAGAAGGGAACAAAATGCAAAAGCACAAAGAAGGGCGTACGGACAGAGGAACAGTTGGAGGCGCATGACTAGGGTCGGTTTATTTCATATATTAAAATTTAAATTATTAATTATGTTAGTATTTTTTTTTTTAAAAAAAAAAAAAAAATTTCAAACTGTTAATGTAATAGTTGACTTTGGGTGTTTCCTGATTGTGTAGTTAGTGTAATAGTTGACTTTGGATGTTTTCCTTTCTAGTATGCTGTAATCTCTATATAAAGGCTCTAAGCATACTTGTAACATATACACAAATTATAGAAATACAATTCTTTCTTCTTTATCTTGGTATCAGAGCATTTTCTTTTTCTCCATTTCTCCCGAAGGTGAACTGCCTTGGGAAAACCGTATTAAAAAAAAAGTAATTTGCAGATTTGCTATTCCTATTGTGGCCTGTGATTCACTACATTTTGAGCCATTGTTTTGGTTGGTGAAGACTGTTGTGAGCCCAAAGGCTACGCCGTGACTCCTTTTGTGACAGAGGGTGGGTTTCTACCATCAACAATCAAGCTCATTCAGCTTCTTTCAAATTCAGGTGTTAAGATTGAAGAATTTCTTGCATTTCAACCAAAAAAAAAAAAAAAAAGAAAGAAAAAAAAATGGCATAACCA